AATGATGTTAATGATGATGCAATTGCTAGAAAAAGTAAACAAAATCGATCTCCGTTAAAAGAATAGTCGTCGAACGTTACGTCACAGTCGATAGATTCGCAATTTCAATTCCCAGCGGTACAGGATGAGGACGTTTTCGAAACCTCCAACGATGCTGATCCATCTCTCGAAACGTCTGTTAGAGAAGTTTTAAGGACACCTCAAAGTCGCGATAGATTAAACAGTCAGCTAGGACCATTAGGACACATATACATCAATGCTCTTCTGAGTGGTGACAAGAGAAATGAAATCGATAACATGTACGGTGTTTATTTCGATGAGAACGGTACAATGTTGGGTGATAAAAAATTCGATGTGGATACAGTCGATACCATAATAATCGATGGAAACAGATATAAGGGTACACGAGGTCTGTACGAGTTAATTTTCAAGAGACTTCCCGACGACGACATCTACACCGAGAACGATAAGCAAACATACAAGAGTATACTGTTGACAACTAATGCTCACAGACGTCGTCATGACGCTGAAATGCCTGTCAAAAGTAACAAGGGACACAAGTACAAGTATATTATCGGTCCACTCGTTTCTGCGCACAGAACTATGAGTTTGGGTGCGGGTGTGCCGACGACTATGAGAGTAACGGACAACAAAGTCGATTACGTTCATTGGGACGATCCGAATGAGTTGGTGGACCGTCTTCAGTTGCTCGATGCCTCCCGTAGTGCTGGCAATAACGCTCACGACAACGAAATTCTATCGATAATCGATGAACTTCGCGAGTCCGGATTTATCATAAATTGAATCGTTTCAATAGTAGTAGTAAACGTAAAAGACAAAACGGATCGAAGATGAGGGTCGAGAAACGGAGACTCGTGGAGGAGCTTCACGCATCCGCGCGGAGAAATTTTCCGCGACGACGAGTCATCGTGCGCGGTCTTGACGATTTATGGCAGGCAGATGTTGTTGAGATGCGCCCTTATGCGCGATCGAATAAAGGTTTTAACTACATTTTGACTGTTATCGATGTTTTGAGTAAATATGCGTGGGCATTTCCCCTCAAGACCAAGAGCGGAAGCGACGTAACCGCGGTGTTATCCAAAATATTTCGCGAAGACAAACGATATCCGCGGAATCTACAGACGGATCAAGGAAAGGAATTCTACAACACCACTGTGCAGACACTTTTGCAGAAACACAACGTAAATCACTATTCTACGTATTCGGTGATGAAAGCGTCGGTAGTGGAACGATTCAACCGTACTCTCAAAAATAATATGTGGAAAGTATTCATATTGAACGGCACGTACAAATGGATCGACGAATTGCCGCGTTTATTGTCAGATTACAATCGTAGTAGACATCGAACCATTGGAATGCGTCCGATAGACGTCACACTTCCCGTTGCAAAACGTCTGTTGTCGACGGTGTACAGTCACGTGAAAATTGCTCCTCCAACGAAATTCAGGATAGGCGATCCAGTACGTGTTAGTAAATTCAAAACGATATTTGAAAAAGGATACACACCAAATTGGTCCACTGAGATTTTCCATATCGTCAAAGTACAACGGACGAATCCTGCAACGTATCTACTGAAAGATTATCGAGGAGAGCCGATAGTCGGTGGTTTTTACGAATACGAACTGCAACGAGTGTTCAATCCGAACGTCTATCTTGTGGAGAAAGTATTACGTAAACGAGGCAACGAAGTATACGTGAAATGGTTGGGAAT